CCGGGGTGTGGCTCGGTGGCACTGCACCTGCCTCACAGGCGTAAGGCCCTGAGTTCAATCCCGGGTACCAAGAAGAAGAAAAGGTGGATGTAACTTGCAATAGCAACACTCAGGTGGCCCATCCACAAAGTGCTTTCTTGTCCCTGCACCTCTTTCTGTGGAGGAGATGCTTAAGGCTGTGCCACAGCCCAGCCATCGGCCAGCGCTGTCCTGTGTGTGCTGTGACTGACATCTGCCTGGTGACCGAGCCGGCCACAAGTGGCCAGTGGGCAGGTGGCGTAGGTGGCAAGGACAGCTGGACAGGGGCGCAGCTCATGTCCGTACCAGGCTGGAGGTGCAGGGCATGGAATTTGCCACCCAACATTTCAGACCCCGGTTATGGCCACTCAGGGAGCCAGTAGGTGACCAGTCCCCCACCCCAGTGTATAAACAGTTTTATCGCCCTGCCACACCTACTCGTTTGCATAGGGACCGATTGCTGCTGTCCTGCCTCAGCAACAGAACCAAGTGGTTGCCATAGCAAAGCCTATTCTGGCTCGAGAAGCCAAAAATACTGATTCCTTACCTCTTCCTAGAAAACTTCCCGGGGGCTGTGCCCTGCATGGCAGGAAGCAGCCTTCTTGAGCCTTTCCTGTGGCTTGTCTCTCCTGCCGTCTGCCTCACCCGAGTCCTGGGCCTGGCAGCTACATCCAGTGTGGCCAGGGAAAGTGCCCGGTGTAGGTGGCCAGGCCTCTGCCTGGGGAGCTACATGGCATTTCCCACAGGCACTGTGCATGACCTGAGCCACATAGGCCAGAGCGCACAGTGTCACAGAAAGCCACTGCTGTGCCCCGGAGGGGCCAGGAGGGCAGATGCCCTCGGGGCAGGTGGCGGCCACTCCGATGGGCACTTGGTGTGGGGGTCGTGCAGCCCACAGAGGCGCTGACCAGGCTTCGGCAGGGCGACCTGCACTGCCCCGCAGGCCTGTGACACACCAGCCGTGAGTGTCTGTGTGTGTGAACACGGGAAAGGTGCACCAGAGTACAGGGAGGCGGGGCAGTGCAGCGGTGACCCTGGGGAGCCGGGGCGTGGTAGGTGCGCTGTCATCCAGCCGCTTGGGAGGCCAGGCAGGGAGACCGAGTTTGAGCCCAGCCTGGGCAGCTTAGTCAGGCCCTGTCTCAGAATAAAACCTTTAAAAGGGCTGGGGAGCCGGGCATGGTGGCTCACGCCTGTCATCCCAGCTCTCAGGAGGCTGAGGCAGGAGGATCGCTGTGAGTCCAAGACCAGCCTGGGCTACATACTGAGTTCCAGGTCAGTCTCAACTACATAGTAAGGCCTTGTCCCCAAAAAAACAAGGAAAAAAAACAGCGGGGGCTGGGGATGCAGCTTGGTGTCGCAGCCCAAGTTCTGTCCGTGTACCAAGGTGTGGCAGGAGGAGTCTGTGCTCGGAGTGGCCGTCCTGAGGAGGGGAGAAAGAGCAAAGTGTTTGAAGCAGGGGTTAAATACAGAAACGAGTTTGCTTTTAAATGAAAAGGTAATCCAGGCACGGGGGGATGTACTTGTTATCCCAGCTGCTTGGAAAGCTGAGGCAGGACAGGAGCTCCAGGCCCGCTGAGCAGTGTGGCAAGGCCCTGGTTCCAAGGCCAGAGGCAAAAGCCACCATGTGCACAGCTTGAGGCGGGCGGCACACCCTCTGCCCCAGGCCATCACTGCACGCGACTCCATGGCCAAGTCCCTGTATAGCGCCCTGTTTGACTGGATCGTGCTGCGCATCAACCACGCGCTCCTGAACAAGAAGGACATGGAAGAGGCCGTCTCGGTGAGTGTCCCACCGGGCCACCAGGCCGTGCCCAGGACGCCGTCCCCTTGGCCCTGGGACTGGCCCTGGGGTCCCATCACCCTCTGAGGAGAGGCCGGGTCCTGGGCCGACCCAGTGGGCACGACTGTGCTGTGGCTCCAGGGACTCCGTGCAGAATAAAATGGGTCTTCCGGGCTCAGTGCAGCTCAGTGGTGCGCGCTGGCCCATGTGTAGGGGCGCCCTGGGCTCTAGCCCCAGCACACCCCGAGAACAAAACCAAAGAAGGCCCCTTACTGGAAACTGCTGGTTGCGCCTGAGTGCGGTGGTGCACGCCTGTCACCCCAGCACTCTGGGCAGTTAAGGCAGGAGGGTCGCAAGTTCAATCCCGGCCTGGGCAATTTAGACCCCATCTCAAAATAAAAAATGAAGAGGGTGCTGGTCGTAGCTCCGTGCAGAGGCCCTGGGGTCGACCCCACCAGTGAGGGACGATGATAGCATCCCACAGAGCCCTCAGTGACGGCCGCTCTCTGTCGCCAGTGCCTGTCCATCGGGGTCCTTGACATCTTTGGCTTCGAAGACTTCGAGCGGAACAGCTTCGAGCAGTTCTGCATCAACTACGCCAACGAGCAGCTGCAGTACTACTTCATCCAGCACATCTTCAAGCTGGAGCAGGTGGGTGCGCCGTCCCGTCGCCCACCTTTGTCCTTCCTGCAGGCCCTGGGCTGGGTGGACCCCGAATCCAGCCGCTCCCTGGGGGACAGGCGTGTCCGTGCCTGGCTTCTGTGAGCAGCGCTGCTGTGAACGTGGGTGTAGCACTCTCTCTCTCAGAGGTATCTGCTTTCCAGCGGGGCACAGTGACCCATACCTGCTCAGGAGGCTGAGGCAGGAGGATCACCGTCCAAGGCAACTTAGTGACACCCTGCTCGCACATAAGATTCAGAAAAGCACAGGAGCTAGATGTGGTAGCGCTCCCCTATCATCCTGGCCCTGTGGGAGGCTGAGGCGGGAGGGCCACAAGTTCAAGCCCCGTCTGGCTGAGGAACTTCGTGAGTTAGCCTGAGCAACTTAGCAACTCAGTGAGACCCTGTTCCAAAATTTAAGAAATTTTAGAGCCGGGGATTTGGCTCAGTGGTTCTGCCTCCTGCCTTGCAAGTGGAAGGACTTGAGTTCGAGCCTCGGTACCAAAAAAAATTAACACAAAATTTAAGAAATTTTAAAAGGGCTGGAAAGGTACCTGAAAGTGGAATTGCTGAGTCCTCCGGTGACTTCCACTGGCCCGAGGGGAAGTGGGAGGAGCTCGCCCGGAATCTCCCTTGGGGCCCAGGATGGTGACCCTGACCCAGAATGTTTCTCTGCCACGGGGAAACTTAACAAAAATCCCACCCAGCCCGGGGTGAGAAACTTAGAGGCTGTGCTGAACCTCAGTCATTTTTAGACTTTCTCTGCCCAAACAGGACCAGTCTTTCCCATGGGAGGGAAATGGATGGCGGAAAGGGTTTGCTGGGGCCAGTGAGCAAGTCCTGTCTTTTAGCAGGACTCTGTGGCCACATTACTCAGATGCTGTCCTTCACCGTGGTGGTTCTGATGGGGAAACTCCAGTGGATTTCTGTAAACGTTTAGCCGATTTCCCCATCGAGCCTTCTTGCCACTTGGCCCTTGGAATGTAGCTGGTCGGAGTGGTAGGGGAGGAGTAAGATACAGGCCCAGGGCCGAGGATTTTGCTCAGTGGTTCTGCCACCTGACTCGCAAGTGCAACGCCCTGAGTTCGACCCCTGAACCCCTCCCCCAAAAGATGTGGGCCCCCGGCTGCAGCCGTGTGCTCATCCGTCCGTCCACTCTTCCATTCTTCCTTTCTTTGTACTGGGTCTCAAACTCGGTACCTTCTGCTTGCTGGGCAGGCTTGGTACCACTGCACTGAGCTACACCCCCAGCCTGTACTGATCCTTTCGTAACTTCTTGGATATGGCTTGGCCCTGCTGGGCTACACGGAGTGAATCAGTTTGTTTTCTGTTACTGTAACAAAACCCCCGGTGCTGGCTACTTTGTGCAGCAGAGAGGTTTGTGATGCTTCCTGTCTTGGAGGCTGAAGTCCAAACCGCACAGCTCTAGCTCTGGTGGAGGGTGCGCCTGGTGCTGCCCCATCTCAGCAGGCATCACAGAGGAAGGACGTGCAGCACGACAGGACCCAGACTGGGTGGGGCTGGGCTCCTCCTGTAATAGCGCTGAGGTCCCGTGTGGGAGGCCCCTCAACGTCATACACGGGACCGCAGTGTAAGTGGCTTTTGGTGCCGCTGGAGTTCATTTCGGCTCTCGGGTTTTCAGGCCTGGCATGTGCAAGGCCCTGGTTCCATCCCCAGCATCACGGAAGAATAAAAATTGTGGCTACTGGAAACTGAAATTATGCAGGTCACTGATGTTATGCGAGGTGTGACTTTAAATATACAGTGATTTTTTTTAAAAAATCATCAGAGTACAGCACAAAAGTCCTCACAATCCCCACTTCAAACACACTCCCCCTGTCGTCCTGGCCACTTCCGGCAGCAGCCCTGCAGTGCTCTTGCGTGAGCATCTTTAGCTGCGCCATCCTGAATGGATTCAGAATGTTCACATTTCCTGGTCACTGGCCTCGGGAAGATCCAGTGGATGAGGTGGCTGAGACACAGTGTCGTGTTTTATTTGACAGAAATTACCGCAAATCATTGTCATGTGGTCGAAAACTAGGGTGAACGTTTACAGTGCAAAGCTTACTGTGGCGAAAGACACACTGGCACGAGTCCCCTCGAGGCGCTCAGACCCTCCTGCGCAAGGGGCGCACCTGTCCCGCCCTTCCCAGTCTTGTATCCACGGTCATGGGGTTTCTAGTCTGGTCCGAGGGGCTCTCCGGTCCACGTGGGAGCAGCGGCGAGTTAGAACGTCTGCGCTGTGATCGCCGCCTGAGAACTGCGGTCTTCCCTGTTGATCTGTGGCTCCAGCGACTCCGTGTCAGGGCCTCTTGCTGGCGCATTGGTATATCTTGGTTTGCTCGTCTGTGTTTCCGTGCAGTGTGACCTGTCCTCCATTTCTGTGGCTCGGTACCTCCAGGTTTGGCCAACCTTGAAACAAAAATATTCCAAAAAATGGTTACAGTGCTGGCGCGGGGTGGCACACATCTGTCAGCCCAGAACTCTGGGAGGCTGAGGCAGGAGGAGCGTGTGTTCCAAACTGGCCTGCTTTTTTTTTTTTTCCTCATTGAGTTTATTGGCACACTTTAGGTATACAGTACAGTTACACTCATCATTGGAATCTTCTTTCTGTACATAACAGGTCTTGGTTCTCATCTTTCCCCTTGTCCCTACCCTCCCTTCTCCCCCTCCTCCCTTCCCTACAAATCTGGCCTGCTTAATGAGTCCCTGTGTCAGAATAAAAGCAGATGCTCAGTTCTTCCTGGGTTCAGTCCCTGGTACCAGGGAAAAAAGCCCCGCATGTGTAGTAAACAGTTTTCTTATCCGTGTCCCCTAATGGTGTGTGTTGGGAGGGGTGTGCAGGGGCAGTGCTGTCGGCCCCGGCCTGGCCCTTGGGGCCCCATGAGTGAAATCCCGCCCCCACCCGCCCACAGGAGGAGTACCAGAGCGAGGGCATCGCCTGGCACAACATCGCCTACACGGACAACGTGGGCTGCATCCACCTCATTGGCAGGAAGCCCACCGGCCTCTTCCACCTGCTGGACGAGGAGAGCAAGTGAGTGGCGCGGTACTGCCCTGCGGGGGGCTGGGGGAGCCGAGGGTGGCCCTGTGCCTCCCCACAGAGCCGGTGCGTTTGCAGTGCGGCATGCTGTTTTCTCATTTTTTGCTCTCACCTTTTTGAGGGACGGGTATTGTCCTGGCCACTGACAGAGTGCACTCCGGCTGTATAAGGAGCTCCAGACTTCAGGCAGGGCCAGGCTCCCTCCAGAGCGGCTGGGGTGTCGCCCCTTCCAGCTCTGGGCCTCCAAGTGCCCCTAAATTGCCAGGCTGCCTCAGCCCCGCCGTGCTCCTGCATTAGCCCCCAAGCAGTGAGTGGCACCTGCCCCCACCTGAGGGTGCAGGTGCAGCCCTGACCCCGCTGGACAGGGGCAGGCACGTCCCCTGCTCTTGAGGCCAGGCCGGGAGAGGACACTGAGCTAAGAGGACAACGGTGCTGGCGGGAGACGGCCCGACGTGAACATGCGAGCGTTGGTCCTTGTTAGCTGTGGTGTCCCGTGATCGGGATGTCCTCAAATCGTGCTGCGGTGTTATTTTTGTTCGCAGCTGAGCTTTGTTGGTGCCCAAAGCCATGGCTGACCTGTGCAGCCCAGAAGTGGTGAGCCCGTGGTTGCGGACCATGCCGCCCACCTAGGACCTCGGCACCCAGGCCTGTGCCTGGCGTTGCCTGTGTGTGCAGCTGGCCTGGCACGGGCAGCAGCGAGGGTCACAGCTACAGATGGCCGTCCCCTCCTAGGGACAGAAATAGTCCCCGCCCAGCCTCAGCCCCTCCTCCCTCTTGGCCCAGCCTCTCCTCCCACCTGGAGAGCCGGGCACAGCCAGACTTGACACCAGCAGCCCAGTGGTTTTGTTTTGGTTTGAGTTGGTGTTTTTGGTTTTGAGTTGGTGTTGTCTCCTTATGTAACCCAGGCTGGCCTGGAACTCTCAGCAATCCTCCTGTCTCAGCCTCCTGAGTGCTGGGATGACAGGTGTGCACCACACCACCCAGCTAAGTCTGGGGCTGTTGTCTGATATTGCCCACGGTGGGACAAGTCCTCTGCAGCCTCCTGGTGTGGGGTCAGAGAGGGGCCACTCTCAGAATCAACCCTAGGCCCCTGGTAGCCGGCTCCGCCCGTGGTCCCACCAGATGGCATAGGTTCTGTCCCCCTTCCTCCATCCTGGGAGCCTGGCAGCCACCCACAACTCCCCATCCTCTCCCCAGCTTCCCCCATGCCACAAGCCAGACCCTGCTGGCCAAGTTCAAGCAGCAGCACGAGGACAACAAGTACTTCCTGGGCACCCCGGTCAGGGAGCCCGCCTTCATCATACAGCACTTTGCAGGGCGAGTCAAGTACCAGATCAAGGTGTGCATTGGAGCTGCTTGGGAGGCCGAGGCGGGAGGGTCTCCAGGTCACGTCCAGCCCAAGCACCTTGGTGAGAGTCTGTCTCCAAGTGAACACTGGAAAGGCCTGGCACGTGCTGTGTGGGTGCCTGGCGTGGGTGAGGCCTGGGTTCCCTGCTGGTGTCCTGCCTGGCCACCACCTGCTCCCGCCGCTGCCCCCACATCAGCAGCCCTTCCTGCCCCATCCACAGGACTTCAGGGAGAAGAACATGGACTACATGCGGCCTGACATTGTGGCGCTGCTGCGGGGCAGCGACAGCGCGTATGTGCGGGAGCTCATCGGCATGGAGCCTGTGGCCGTGTTCCGCTGGGCCGT